AACATAAATTAATATCAGACAGTTAATTCAATAAATTTCTAAGCAAACTCAACAAACAACAGCTTTGAATTGCTGCATTCGTTCGAAATGACGGCTAATAAAAGTTGCAACACGTATAATTGAATGATTCATTGGAACGGGTTTTTATTTAAATTTTTTTTTTCATTCAGTTGAACGTCGAACGGTTATGAAACGTCCGAGAAAAAGGGGGAAAAGAGACTCGACAGGAAGTTCTTTGTGAAGAACGAACGTCAACGTCAACGCGCATTTAACAAAAAGCAGCACGTCCGTTTGAGAGTAACAAGAGACCGAGAGAAATTAATTTCCCTTCCCGTTCTCTCTTGTTAACGGGAATTAAATGGTTAAACGCATAAAGCCATTATCTCTATGCTATCTTCTCCTGCATTTCGCCTTTAGACGCAATTTGCGATGAACAGTTATTGTCAAAGATTCGACATGTTCGTTCGTTAATCAGCGTTTCATCTTTCAACTCACACGATGATCATCACAGTTGCATCGTTATTTATTACGCAACGAAGTGCCTCGATAATAACTTTTTTACGATTTTTAAAAAAATGTACACTGGATGTGTTGTAAAAAGTGCATGCTTCTTAATACGTTTTTTCATATTTGCTCGAAACCGAGCGAAGCAATTTTTTGTGATTCGTCGCAGCGCGGAATTCGTGGTCGAAAGTTAATATATGTCGATAAATATCCGCGTATTCAGGCCACCAAAACGCAATCCGCAACGCAACGTGGAGCTAAGCCAATGTCGAGTAGATTCCAACTAGCATCTAGGCTAGTTGTCCAGAGAATGGTTCTTTAATTATTGTCAAGATACTTCGAAATTATCATTAATGAATAGCAATAAATAAAATTACGCTAATACAACATCCTATACATAGATTAAAGTACATTGATATATTTTTTAACTGGCTTATAAAAAAATGTATCTGTTAGAAAGTATCTCTTTAAAGTTAATACAATTTGAATTCGAAAAACATTAATTATCCAATATTTACAAAATCTAAGCTATGTCTAGTATATAGAAAAATTATCAGTGTCTAGATAAATAGCCTGGTGAAGCATTCCAATATAAAAATAGGATATTAAAAAACTCAAATGACGACACGCTATCAAGAATTACTAAAAACTAAAGAAGACAATAGATAAAGATGTGTATCATCATCATGATATGTGCATCATATCTGGATGCACTTGACGATTGATCTTAAGAGCTTCTCTAGCAACGAGAGTGTCGATAGCTTCACATTTCGATAAATAAGAGGTTAAACGAACTAAAGTAACGCGAACAACTATTGATTCTATTGAGTTCATGATAATAAAGAAACTTCTATTTTTTAAATATATATAAATATAAATTAGATTCTTTTTTTTTTATTCTATTCGTCTATATATATAGACCAAAATTTTAAGTAGACTATTCGTATAGACGAAGAGTCCATTTACAATTTTCGGTTTCTTCATCTTGTAATACATTGTATCTCGAACATATTCAATACAAAAATAAAATTCAAGCAAAATCTCGATGACATTTCAATTCATACATAATATGAGTGCGTAACGAAAATGACTTTGTGGAGCGACTCGTTAACGATAATTCGCCGGATCCGAGTCATTCTGGACGTTTCATTGATGCTTAGCGGTATTCACATGGTAACCAGAGAGTTAACCGCTCCCATCGAGGTCGTGAAAAGAGCAGGGAAGCTGACCTAGATAAACGCGACCTGGTTTACTCCATCTTTGCGAAGCCGGTGAATGGATCCGACATGACGCACATGCGACTACTTCTCTCTCTCTCTCTCTCTCTCTCTCTCTCTCTCTTTTTTTTCTTGTTTATTTCACGCACACGTGTACCTAGCTTTCTCTTCTCTCTCAATCTATATCCTTATTTTCTTTACGTAACGATGAGGATCCACGTAAGAAACCTCTTCCGATGTAACTGCCGTCGCTATTTTCCAATTTGCCATCATCGATTCACATTCTCTAACAATTACGTGTACACTCACTGCACTAATACTAACTGTAATGCTATTGTAATAGTGTAATGATTGACGATCCGTTCGTAAATCGTGATCATGATGATTACATAAAAATTAGATTAGAAAAAAGCTATTTACAAAAAGTGGCAAAATAATTATTTTAGCAAATAATCTGATATGACTTTTACATATCATTTTCATCGGATTCGTTTGTTCATTCTTGGCATCCAATTTTTTTCTTAATAAGCCAGTTTTTTGCTATTAAATATTATAATATTAAGTCATAGTATTACTGAATCGCATTATATTTATTATTGTCGAATTCGACATTTTATTCAAAACAGCAACCGACTACGCGTTTGCGTGCATCATTTAAAGATTAAAATTTGCAGATTAATTGAATCTATGAATCTATTAAAAATTTTTTGTTTGCACAGTCAATAACGCTTTTTACTAAAAATTTTTTACGCATTTTGACTTTCAAATTCATATATTTTCATATGATACATAGCAATAAGTCCGATAAATTTAATGGACTAAAGAAAATTTGAGATAAGAAATCTTTTTATTTTCACCTACTAAAAAAAATTATTGAAATGTTTATAATATTATCGCTTTTTCACAATAATGAGTAATTCTTTCACTATGCTGATTTCATGAATAACTGTCGTCGCAGTTATTTTGACAGTTCGAAAAAAGATAGCAGTATTATGATTTTATTTATATAATAAACTTTTAAAAAAAGATTGTAATACATTAATCTCTTAAGTTTATAAGAATATGTTGGTTCTCATTATAGAGATTGCATATTTTGTCAGCTCAGATATTCAGAGTCTTAACAATAAATAATATTTTATGCGATTTTATCAACTATAAATTTTAAGACATGCTTAGGCGTTCTATAATGCATGATAGATATCGTTTAATTTGTTCAGGCTTAGGAAATAATCTCTTTTTGATTCCACATTTAAGAGATATTTTTCTCTTTCTTTCTTCTTTTACATAATTAACTAAAAAAAAATTTTCTCATCAATTGTATTTTATTTTATATTTATTATTTTGAATAACACAATGGTAAGAAAATTGCTAATTATATCTCATATAATTTTCTAGTTTGTAAATATCATTTTCTTATTAGGCTAAAAAATGTGCAAATGCTCTACACAAATATCAATGACTCTGTTATGAATACGAGGGTGTCTAGGCTCATTAGGGTGCCATATACTCCCTTCACTATACACATACAACTCTGTTTTATTACTTCCCTTCGCGAAGACATGATTTTCTAATTTTAGTTTTAAGAAAACATAAGATGACTTCAATGACCTTCTAACGAACTCTGGACTTGGATTAATTTCCAACATGTCATTATAAAAACAGGCGTTGTATTAATCGCAATAAAGATATATCTATTAACAGAAAAATGCATCATTATCTTCCATCATAAACAATTATCAAATCTAAATTAATACTTACAGGACTACCATATGACTATGTGGCGCAAGATCGTCACGATTAAATGTTAATTTCATGTAGTAACTTTGCGTATCTAATGTTTGCGCCGTAGTGCAGCAGAACAATATTTATATTGCATTTATACCGAATGACGATGTCTATTAAAAATATATGAGATATAAGTAGCAACTGTTTTCTTATCATTGTTATTCAAAATAATAAATATAAAATAAAATACAATCGATGAGAAAAAAAATTTTAAGCATTAACAATGAATAATTGCACGCATCTTTCCCTTGCATAATGTTACTTAATGAAAGTAATTAATAATTTCGTGGGATGCTAAAGTGTTCTGCATTTTTCCTGATGTATATATGTTGCTACAAAAATTTATCATATGCAGAAGCGATGTTTGAGAGACAAGTGTATTCAAATTCTGACGTTACAGCAAAAAAAGATCTTCACGTTTAACAAAAATACAATGGTATCATTTTGTCAAACATTTTCGAATTACAATTTTCTTTAGACAAATAAATGATTGGTAGCGAAGTTAATTAGTATATTGTAGCATGGTTCAAAATTTATCATACAATAAATTAATTTTTTGAATAATAATGTATAATAATAATGAAAAAATAAAATTATATAATTTTTGTAAAAAAATTGTTACATATGTAATTAGGGCCGTCTTAATCACGTGTGCAAAGTGTAATGAAATTTGTTTGGTGAAATTTGTCACTCGGAAAGCGAAGATTGTTTCGTTATTTACCATATTTCAACATGGCAAGTGAATTTTATTTATTTTCAATAAAAGATTGAGGGAGATTTTTTATGAGGTAATGGAATTTTTTATGTCAAGAGATTAATGATAGGTATCTTCGGAGTGTATCGTTTAATTTGTTCATTGCGTTATACGCGAATAGGAAATAACTTTCTGATTCTCTACTTAAAAAATATCTTTCTTTCTCTTTCTTTTTTCATACAATTACACTCTCTAAAAATGAATCAGTGTATTATCACTGAAAAACAGTAAATAGTCACTGATTACAAGCAGTTATAAGTACAGCACTGATTACAGTAATAATACACTGATTCACTTTTAGAGAGTAGATAACGAACGAATAATTTTTATTTAATCGCCAGATATTTATTTGTCCGACTTATAAGATCGATTTAATATCTGAAGCCTCTCTATTGAGATTGTATCAGAAATTAAATCGAAGTAACACTTCTAATTTTACCTGTCGCTCTTTGCAAACTTTATGTAATTCTTATGACTAAAATTAAATACGAGAGAGATAGCGATCGTAACAGTAAACGAACGAACTAGCGATTACTGGTTTTACAGTAAAATTTACTGGTTTTACAGTAAATTTTATTTTAACTGACAATAATCAGTGAGATATAAGATAAAATAACAAAAAATAAGCATTTCCACTGAAATCAGTAAACGTACTCACTGATTCTTAGTGAAATCTTATTTTACTGTTTATATTAATGATATTTTCACTGATTCACTTTTAGAGAGTAGGAAAAAGACAATTTTCATTAATTGTATTTTATTTTGCGTTTATTATTTTGAATAACAACGGTAAAAGAGTAGTTGCCACTTGTATCTCACATATTTTTCTAGTCTGTAAATATCGTTTTCTAACGATTATTTGTTAGGCTAAAAAATATGTAAATACACTATACAATATCAGTGGCTTTACTACAGATAGCTACGAGAGGCTTATGTCACTCTCCACTACATACAGCTGTGTTTATTATATTAATTAACTTCCCTTCGCAGAAATTTGAATCAATTGCATCAGTGACTTTTGGGATATCAGTAGATGGTTTTGGAGTAGGCGGCGTTAATATTTTGGATTCAATGGGATAAACAATCCTCTACTGATTTATCATTTACTTGTCATCACTTAGAGTATATCCTGTTGACAGAAAAATGCATCGTTATGATCCGGCAAAAGCAATTATCAGATCCAAATTAATACTTATTTTATAACCAATCTTATTGTGTAGTGAGAGTAGAAGGCTAGGCAATTTATTTACCCAAAACGACCATCATAGTCCATTATATCAAATGAATATACTTCGTCGTCAATACGACCATCATAGTCCATTAAATCAAATACATATTCTTTGTCATCATCATTTGGACGGGCCTGGATGGCGCAGATCAGGATTGCCACGATTAAACACACTACTGTTAACTTCATGTTGTTACTTTGCCCATTTAATGCTTGCACCGTAGTACAGCAGTGCAATATTTATATCGTACTGTCGAATGACGATCTTTGTTAAACATTGACAATGAATAATTGCACGCGTCTGTTTCGCCACTTGCATAATGTTACTTAATAAAAGTAACTAATAATTTCGCGAAATATACTAAAGTGTTTTACATTTTTCTTAATGTATATATGTTGCTAATACAAATGTTGCCATATGCGGAAGCGTTGTTTAAAAGACAAGTGTATTCATACGTTGCAAAATTCTAACGTTGCAACAAAAAAAGATCTTTACGTTTAAAAATACAATTGTGTCATTTTCTTAAACATTTTTGAATTACAATTTTCTTTAGATAAGTAAATGAATGATAGCTTAGTTAATTAGTATACTGTAACATAATTAATGAAAATTTACGCCATATTTTTAATAATAAAGATGCATTATTTATTTAATATTGAAAGTATATACTAGATATATATATATATATATATATATATATATATAAAATATATATATTTGATATATATTTATTTTTTTAATAATTAAAATATATATTTGATTAAATTATAAATCATTTCAAATTTAAAGAAGCCTTTATATCAAATTTATCTTTGTAATATGAAAAAAATGGTCATATATTTGTTTTGAATGATTAACTTAAACTATATAATCCTATAGATTAAATAATATGTAATAAATTTGTGAAAAATAAAGATATTCCAATTTTAAATTTTTTGCAGATTGAAATTTTTTTATTGATGTTTATTAAATAATATTTCGTCAAAGGAAATAGTGTATATATCATGTGCATCCGCTTTGTAATATTACAAAAAGGAAAGAAAAATATAATATAAATTGAATTAAATTTTATTTCCGGTGACATCACTTAAATGCCAGTCCAATTAATAATCAGCATGTATCAAATTACTGACCATGCTTACAGTGAAGGTCCGCTAATTTTTTCATAAAAATTGAGTTAATTAAATGATTCTAATGTTCTCTAAAAAAAAAAGGTTGATGTCTAAAAAAAGTATTAATGTCTCAATTTCCAAATGATTACAAATAAAATTTCCTTGAAACAAAATTCATATTTCTCTGTCTTCCTGTTTCTCTCATATATATTGTCGGATTCCGAAATTGTCTAAACACTTAAAAACGACCGTAGATGAATCCTCAGAATGCGATCTAATTATAGCGGATAGCTCCATCCGTGCACACAACCATCACCATCTCATTCTCTTAAAATAACCAACTGGATTATTCGTTAATAATATCGTACGAATGTTACATATCATATGGATATATCCGCTGTGGAACGCAAATATTTGCTTTTGCTACAAAACATATGTATGTAAGCATGAATATATAATTGTTTCCATAAAGAAGATCAATCTAAGAGGATCATTTATCGAAAAATGAACATTATTACGAAACGAAAAATTGGATTTATTATTCTATATGATATTAAGCGCGCGCAAATACAATAAAGTTTTATTTAACTAATACAAAGAATGTATACATCCACATATATAAAATAAACAATGAGATTGAGAACAATGAAACAAGAATTAGAGATCTAGTTTAATATTAAACAAATAAAACTTTTTACAAAGTTGTATGCACATTGTTTCTACGAAATCTTGCATTAATTTCAATGTTTACTGAAATTATTGAAATAGAAAGTTATTGTAGAAATATTTCATATTTTTATACAGATTTTATTAAAAATTATTCTAATTTTGTGATTCTTAAATTACAATTATTTAGGATCTTATATATTTTTTATATAATTTTTAAGATCTTATATATGTGTATATATATTTAAATATAAATATTTTAGGTGGTAACAATATTTAAGGACAATAAAGTCTCGGCATCATTTCTTTACTTTCATGTTTATAATCTTCTTATCGAGATCAGTCATTTTTCTGTTTGATATCGTGTTCAAATTAATTCTCGCATTGCTTCCGCAATTCGATCGATAGACCAACAGGAAGATCTCGATAACAGTAAATAGGAAGAGATGACAACGACATAAAAAAAGAGGGGCATCCCCCCGTCAACTTTTTAAACCACGCCATTAAGCGTTACTTGATTCATCATATTACCGTAAGATGGCGACAAATACCAGTATGTTTTCGCTCCTTTATCGACTCTAACATTATCATCCTGCAACTGGTCACATATCAGCCATTATTGTGCGCAAATTGTTTCGGCAGTCATGCCAAGCGATCGACCATTTTCAATTATCACGATCGATTTAGAAACTAATAGATAAATTAGTATAATGAGAGTAAAATTTTCAAAAAGATACAATTTGCAAGCTTCTTTGAAAAACTACTAAATTATAAAGCTCAAGTTACTTTCTATTTGAAAGAAACTCCGAAATTATATCGGAAATTGATATTTGAATTTTACAAAAATTTTACAAATAAATTTTTACTATATATCAGTTTTTCTTTTATTTAAGTAACTTACAGATTCTATTAATTCTTTTACACGTTGTATTAGATTTAAATCTGGTGGTGAGCAGAGGTAAAATACCGAGAACAAAATCAAACGTTAACAAAATTGGGCGCTGATGTTCGCGATTTCCGGTAAATTTGTCGAGCAAACTTCAACCGGATATTATTGAGAAGCGTGCCGTGTCGCGTAAACATAAGAGTGACGAAGGCAAACAAACGAATGTTATTTTTCCAAAACACGTAAAGGGAGAAAAAAGAAGAGAAAGAGAAAGATGAGAGAAAATGCGTTCCATCTTTCTAGCTGAAACTGAAGTTAAGAAGCGAGCACATAAATTTCTCTTTCTCTCTCTCTCTCTCTCATTTCATAAAAACAAGCTAAATCTCAAATTAGATGACTACTAAAATTGTGTAAATTATTCTTATTTATTATTATTTTATATTTATTATTATTATTTATTTTATTTTTATTTATTATTATTTTAAAATTAATATTTAAAATTAATAATTAATTAATTCACTGTATTTAATTCAACTACAATTTTTACTTGATTATTCGCCTTTAATCAATCGGGAGATAAATAATAATTATCTTCTAATTTAGCAAAACTTGGAAAAAGAGAATATTTATTTCACTCGCGTTGCATTCAATCGAGAGAGAAATCTGCATGAATATGTGTACCTCAAATTTTCGGAACATCCGTGGAAATAATATTAAAAAAAATATACCATAAAGATGAAGGAGATACGAGACACTTGAATCGTGAATAATGCGATTATTTGAGTTACTTCTTACAAATGTGAGGATAAAACTTTGAATGGTCAGGATAATGATTGTCGCTCCTAAATGAGGATACTCACGTCCTATTTTTATAATGCGCATGTGAGGGTGGACTCGAGGATTAACAATATTCGCGATCATTTGTGACGCGCAATTACTGTTACGAGATGATGAGAGATGGAAACAAGTGAAAAAGAAGAAGAGAGAGAGAGAGAGAGAGAGAGAGAGAGAAAGAAAGAAATAATAATGGAAAACGCAAAGGTGCACGCAGACGTGGAAAATATGTCGTGAATAATTGCGCCTCGCAACACGGATCGATGAATACTCGAGTCACACACGAGGAACTCTGCAAATCTTATGTATGCCCCGCATACGGTCTCTACAGGACATTCCCGACAAGACTAACGTTCCCAACGAATGTCTGTCGAAAAAGATTAGAAGAGATTGCGTTTTTCGGTACACAGAGTGATAAAATTCTACGAAATTAAAAGTCCTCGAGGTTCAAAAGAATTTATCAAACGTATTATTCGTGAAGAAAGAAATATCGTTTATTTACGAGGATCTCATAAAGATGAAACGGAATACTCCGTGTGTGCTAACTATGCTTACAATTTACGTATATATAGGCAAATACGCGCGCGCACGTGCGGCTTTCTAGACATTCCTTTCAATCGCGATACATCGACCTGCGGCGCACGTGTATGCTTACACGTTACTCGTATATGTATAAAATTTCTTCCGCAGGTAGATCGATTTACGCGGAAAGAAAGCCTCGCGATAGAGAGATTGTGTAAGTTGCAAGTGTATTTATCAACTACAGTCTAAGCTTCTTATCTGTACAATGATATATTTTCTCTCATCTTTAATAATATTATAAAGATGATATATTTTTATTATAAAGATGATATATTATAAAGATGATATATTTTCTCTCATCTTTAATAATATTAAAAATATACAAAGAATTTAAAAACATAATGTAACACTTCATACGAACGTATGTCATATGAAAATAATCATAAATTATTTACAATACAAAAAAACAATAATTTAATATAATCAAGAAAAAATATGATTGTAAATAAACTCAATTCTATTATAATTCAACTAAATTAAAATACTGAATATTTGTATGCAATTCTTTAATAAGTAAAGAAGAAACAGAAGGAAAGAAGATTCTTTCCTAGAATATCAAATAGGATTTCAAATTTATTATTGACAAAAGAATCATTAATTGGCTTTGTATCATTCAAGAAGATTAATGATCAAAACAGAAAGAAAACTTCTATTATTTCATAATAAACTGCAATCTTTTTAAATCAAAATGAAAAAAAGAAAAATTAGACACTATCAATAATTTCAAATTTACAAATATTTATAGAAGAAGTCTACAAAGTCTATTTTTTCTATTGTACAAAATTTAATGTATTATTATTATAGCTTCGAAATAACATTTATTTTTTTTTAAATTTTATAATAAATTATTGAAAAAAAGAAGGGTGATTCGTGTAATTCCCTGCTTTAGATACTTTTAATAGATTTCGAACAGTCGGTAAAAGAGGAACCACTATTATTTGTTACGTCACTATATCTAGCATGGATATCGTTTCTACTGTAATGATGTAACGCTCATACAGCGCTCTCTAAGCTGCATGTGTGTATTATTAGCATACACATGTACATTTTTATAATTTATAAGATAAAAAACGCTAGGTATACACACATACACACGCAATACATGTAAATATTATATAGAAATAGTCTATATCTATACTTGTATAAACTATTTTTTTTCATTGATCTGATCGTTGCATAATGCACAAACAATAAAATTTTATACAGTGCATAATTACTATGCGCAACTGCACTTCATATCATAATTATAATTGATTATAATTGAATCCGTATATAACAAAATAATTGATCAATGTTATGTGAATAATTAAATTAAAATTATATATATATATTATATATAATTTATATATTATATATATATATATATATATATATATACAATATAATAATTTTCTTACAAAAATGATACAATTTTATTTCTTCATTATCGTTATGCATTATTCAAAAAATTAATTTATTGTGTAATAAATTTTCAATCGTGCTACAATATACTACTATCATTCATTTACTTATCTAAAGAAAATTGTAATTCAAAAATGTTTGATAAAATGACACAATTGTATTTTTAAACGTAAAGATCTTTTTTTGCTGCTTTAGAATTTATATGAATACACTTGTCTCTTAAACATCGCTTCCGCATATGGCAACATTTGTATTAGCAACATATATACATTAAGAAAAATATAAAACACTTTAGTATATTTCGCGAAATTATTAGTTACTTTTATTAAGTAACATTATGCAAGTGGCGAAACAGACGCGTGCAATTATTCATTGTCAATGTTTAACAAATAGAGATCGTCATTCGACAGTACGATATAAATATCGTACTGCTGTACTACGGTGCAAGCATTAAATGCGCAAAGTAACAACATGAAGTTAACAGTAGTGTGTTTAATCGTGGCAATTCTGATCTGCGCCGTCCAGTCCCGTCCAAATGATGATGTCGACAAAGGATATTTATTACGTCCAATGGAAGATGATTATTGGCATTCGCTCCCTATAATGTGGGTCCCGTTAAATGTGATTAAATTGCCTAGCCTTCTACCCTCACTACACAACAAGGTTGGTTATAAAATAAGTATTAATTTGGATCTGATAATTGCTTTTGCCGGATCATAACGATGCATTTTTCTGTCAACAGGAAACTAGAGTGATGACAAGTAAATGATAAATCAGTAAAGGATTGTTTATCCCATTGAATCCAAAATATTAACGCCGCCTACTAGAAACCCAACTACTGATATCCCAAAAGTCACTGATGCAATTGATTCAAATTTCTGCAAAGAGAAGTTAATTAATATAATAAACACAGCTGTATGTAGTGGAGAGTGACATGAGCCTCTCGTAGCTATCTGTAGTAAAGCCACTGATATTGTATAGTGTTTTTACATATTTTTTAGCCTAACAAATAATCGTTAGAAAACGATATTTACAGACTAGAAAAATATGTGAGATACAAGTGGCAACTGCTCTTTTACCGTTGTTATTCAAAATAATAAACGCAAAATAAAATACAATTAATGAAAATTGTCTTTTTCCTGCTCTCTACAAGTGAATCAGTGAAAATATCACTAATATAAACAGTAAAATAAGATTTCACTAAGAATCAGTGAGTACGTTTACTGATCTTCAGTGGAAACGCTTATTTTTTGTTATTTTATCTTATATCTCACTTATTATTGTCAGTTAAAATCAAATTTACTGTAAAACCTGTAAATTTTACTGTAAAACCAGTAATCGCTAGTTCGTTCGTTTACTGCTACGATCGCTATCTCTCTCGTATTTAATTTTAGTCATAAGAATTACATAAAGTTTGCAAAGAGCGACAGGTAAATTAGAAGTGTTACTTCGATTTAATTTCTGATACAATCTCAATAGAGAGGCTTCAGATATTAAATCAATCTTATAAGTTGGACAAATAAATATCTGGCGACTTAATGGAAATTATTCGTTCGTTATCTACTCTCTAAAAGTGAATCAGTGTATTATTACTGTAATCAGTGCTGTACTGCTTGTAATCAGTGACTATTTACTGTTTTTCAGTGATAATACACTGATTCACTTTTAGAGAGTGTAATTATATGAAAAAAGAAAGAGAAAGAAAGATATTTTTTAAGTAGAGTATCAGAAAGTTATTTCCTATTCGCGTATAACGCAATGAACAAATTAAACGATACACTCCGAAGATATCTATCATTAATCTCCTGACCCATAAAAAATTCCATTACCTTATAAAAAATCTCCCTCAATCTATATATATATAATAATTTTCTTACAAAAATGATATAATTTTATTTCTTCATTATCGTTATACATTATTCAAAAAATTAATTTATTGTATGATAAATTTTCAACCATGCTACAATATACTAACTAACTTCGCTACCAATCATTTATTTGTCTAAAGAAAATTGTAATTCAAAAATGTTTGACAAAATGATACAATTGTATTTTTAAACATGAAGATCTTTTTTTGCTGTAACGTCAGAATTTATATGAATACACTTGTCTCTTAAACATCGCTTCGGCATATGGTAACATTTGTATTAGCAACATATATACATTAGGAAAAATGTAAAACACTTTAGTATATTTCGCGAAATTATTATTTTTATTAAGTAACATTATGCAAGTGGCGAAACAGACGCGTGCAGTTATTCATTGTCAATGTTTAACAAATAGAGATCGTCATTCGACAATACGATATAAATATCGTGCTGCTGCACTACGATGCAAGCATTAGATGCGCAAAGTTACAACATGAAGCTAACAGTGGTGTGTTTAATCGTAGCAATTCTGATTTGCGCTGTCCAATCTCATCCATTTTATGATGGTATTTATAATGACCACATTAAGCCTAACATAACGCAAATGCATGAACAACATGAGTATGCTGCTGCTCCCTTATGGATAAATAAATTGTCGATTTTCCTACTCCTATTATCAAGGTTGGTTATGAAATAAGTATTATTTGATGTAAATATAAATTTCTAATAATTGCTTTTGCCGGAAGATAACGATGCGTTCTTCTGTCAAGATGCAATTGATCCAAATTTCCGCGAAGGAAAGTTAATTATATAATAAACACAGCTGTATGTAGTGGAGGGTGGCTTGAGCCCAAATACCCTCGTAGCTATCTGTAGTAGAGTCACTGATATTGTGTAGTGCATTTATATATTTTTTAGCCTAACAAATAATCGTTAGAAAATGATATTTACAGACTAAAAAAATATGTGAGATACAAGTGGCAACTGTTCTTTTACTATTATGTTATTCAAAATAATAAACGCAAAATAAAATACAATCGATGAAAAATATTCTGTTTTTCCTGTTAATTATGTGAAAAAAAAGAGAGAAAGATATCTCTTAAATAGAAAATCAGAAAGCTATTTCCTATTTGCGGCATAACGCGAATGCATGATGACAAATTAAATGATACATTCCGAAGATGCCTACCATTAATCTCGCGATCTATAAAAAATTCCATTATCTATAAAAAATATCTCTCAATCTTTTATTGAAAATAAATAAAATTCACACGCCATGTTGGAATATAGTAACTATATACCAACGAAACAATCTTCGCATGACCTTTTGAACTAATTTCACCACATTTTACACACGCGGTCAAGACGGTCCTGATTATATATGTACAATTTCTTTACAAAAAATTATATAATTTTAATATTAACATTATATAATTTTAATTTTGGTTTTTCATTATCATTATACATTATTCAAAAAATTAATTTATTGTATAAATTTTCAACTGTATTACAATATACTAATTAACTTTTATCTTTATTTACCCAGGTAGCAGAGTGACGTCAAATGATATCTTAATAACGTTTTAATGACGTCATTGTACGTCATTAAGACGTCTGGAGACATCTTGCTACCTGGGTATTTGTCTAAGGAAAATTGTAATTCGAAAATGTTTGACAAAATGATACCATTGTATTTTTAAACGTAAAGATCTTTTTTTGCTGTAACATCAGTATTCATGTAAACACACTTGTCTCTTAACATCGCTTCCGCATATAGCAACTTTTGTATTAGCAACACATGGCAACTTTTGTATTAGCAATACATCAAGAAAAATGCAGAAATGCACTTTAGCATCTGGCGATATTATTAATTACTTTCATTAAGTAACACTATGCAAGTAGCGAAACAGACGCGTACAATTATTCATTGTCAATTCTTAACAAATAGAAATTGTCATTCGACAGTGCGATATAAATATCGCGCTGCTGCACTACGGTGCAAACGTTAGATGTGCAAAGTTACAACATGCAGCTGACAGTAGCGTGTTTAATCATGGCAATTCTGGTCTGCGCCACCCAATCCCGCCCATACATTATATTGAATACAGTTATATTCCCGATTACGATTATAATCCCAAGGTAATTCTGCGTCGACTTATAATACTGTAAGTATTAATTTGGATCTGATAATTGCTTTTATCTGAGGATAACGATGCGTTTTTCTATCAACGGATAAAAATTTATTGCGACGTAGATCATAGTTGTTATAAGAATTAGTTGTTATAAGAGATAATATAAAAATTTGACAACGCCGCCTACTCCAAAATCATCTACTGATACGCCAAAAGTCACTGATGCAATTGATCCAAATCTCCGAGAAGGGAAGTTAATTGTATAATAAACAGAGCTGTATGTATAGTGGAGGGTGGCATGAGCCCAAATGTCTTCGTAGCTATCTGTAGCAGAGCCATTGATATATTTATGTAGCGCATTTACATATTTTTTAGCTAATAAATAATCGTTGGAAAACGATATTTATAGACTAGAAAAATATGTGAGATATAAGTTGGAACTGGTTCTTTACCATTATGTTATTCAAAATAATAAACGCAAAATAAAATATAATGCAAATTGTCTTTTTCCTGTTAATTATATGAAAAAAGAAAAAGAAAAAAAGATATTTTTTAAGTAGAGAATCAGAGAGTTATTTCCTATTCGCGACATAACGCAAACGTATGAACAAATTAAATGATACATTCCGAAGACACCTATCATTAATCTCTCGATGTTATCTATAAAAAAAATTCGTTATATAAAAAAATCTCTCTCAATCTTTTATTGAAAATAAATAAATTTTACGCGCCATGTTGAAATATGGTAACTATATCCCAACGAGACAATTTTCGTTTCCCGAATGACAAATTTCATTACAGCTATACGTGTATTTGGCAGCCGGTATTTTTTAATCACTCTCTCGATAATTTCTTTGTAACCTTCCCATTCCATTTCTCTCGTCGCATGCGAAAAAAGCGTAATTTTGGATGACAAGAAGTAGACAATTTCAAAAGTTTTCGGACAGCGTGCCAAGCATCATTATTAACCGTTCTTGTATATTTCACCGCTTTTTCTGGAAATATTTTGTGATACTCTTCGCTGGACTAAAGCAAGAAAGGAAGAAGAAAGTATAATCGAATATCTTTATTGATATTGATAAGAATATTAATGCGTCGATTTTAAAAGATGACAGAATCCGGTTTCCGAAATGTATCGGATCTAAAGAAGAAATATTAAAAATTACAAAATAACAATAAATAATTCTCCTAATAATCATCTCCTAAGAAAACATTTTTAATAAAATACAGCGCGAATATTTGCGGGTTAACGTGCAGCAGCATATATATCGATAGCTTACGTTACCGCAATAGATACACATTTTATATCTCGCGTGTATCCGAAGGCCGGTCAACTCGATATCGGAAATCGATTATCTAACCGATGGAACACCCGCTGCAATCCTGTTGTGCGTGAAGATATTAACCCATTATTTTCTTCGCTTCTCCTTTCTGCTTTCTCCTTGTAGGAACTCGTTAAGGTTTATGAAGTCTGTCATGTACAGTCACACTGTCGTAAACATAGATGAATTTACAGAGTTAATTTATCGAGTTAATGAAAGTTAATTCTTAAACAAGAGTGCGCATCCGTGTTCCAATAAAAAATTATTTCATGCTTAACAATTATATTTAAACACACATTGTTTTATGAACAATTTTATCTAGCTTCATCAATGATTTTTTTTTTGGATTATATAATCTTACATATCTACTTTATATATTTATCTTAGGTATATTTTGGATAATATGATCTCATATATATATTTAAAAAAAAATAAAAGATATATACACTCTTACACATATTTTTTATCATTTTAACGTAAAAATTAATATAATATAAAGTAATATATGGACCTTCTCTTGTGTGTATGATAAACAAAACAACACACGATTGCCATATATTATTTTACTTAATTTCAAAGAATTGTCTGTTTAAATAGGGCATCTACTATTTCCGCTACAACTGAGTTTACTACTTGCATTCTGCGTCAATTTAATTATTGCCAAGTATAACATCACTCGCTGCAGCGCGATAAATCCTCGTTGTTTCTCTCTTCCCCTCTCCTTCTCTCTCTTTCTCTCTCTCTCTTTAAAAACAAAAATGACCTTTATCATTTGGTTCTTTAGCACGATTTTGGC